TTTCATTTTTCCATGTCTAAATATTAAAATGGTAATATATTAACACCCACTAATTTATTTTGTATATATTTTATGAAGGTTAAAATGCCAATATATTTACACCCGTTAGTCTGTTTAATGTCAAGTTAGTGACATCATAAGTTTTAGACATTTTGAAAAGTTGTGGTGAATTTAAGAGAAATGTTGAAAACTCATGGTGAGTTTTAGACAATTTCACTTTTTATAAAAAAATAAATAATATAACAAATTTATAAAAATATAATATAAATAATACATTTATAAATAAATAAATAGCATATATATATGTATTATATATATATGTATATTTATATTTATAAATATATAACATATCGGATTGGGTCTTCTCGGATTTGATCGAATCATGATCCGATCCATTTGCACCCCTACTTTGGACTCACTTCTAGAAAATTAGCCCAATGTTCACCATCTAGACTGATTGGGGTGTCACCATGTGTCTTTGATGTATGTGAATACACCTTGATAATCTATAGTCTGGCTGAACRTCAATCCGAAAGTTTGTGATTTGTATATTTGGTGTAGTGTTCTGTCAAGAAGCTAAGTATTATACATTGCAATGTGATACATGTTGCTTGTATCACACTCCATATCATGAGATGTGATTGCTTGAATTCATTATGCTATGTTATTGCCTCCACCACACACCTTTTGCCATGTATGATTACTAATCACATATTCTTACAATTATAATTCATATAGAGTTGAGTTGTATGCTTTTACACCCTTTAATTTTATACATGTGCATAGTAGTGCTCTTACATTGGTACAAAATAAAGGTAAAAAATTAATCCTATATCTTTTATATGCTTGGCATTGGAAAATTCCACCTCATTAAATTCAATTTTTTCCCAATCTTAACAAGGTGCAATTCATTCAGCAATGCTCAAATAATCCAATAGAATAAGAAACACAACAATAAATGCCAAATAGGCAACCATGTAAAATATAGGCCAGCTTTTTGGGAAGCTATTTATCTAGGTAAATGAAATTACCCAGGTAAGTGTTTCCCAAATAAATAAAACAATAACCGTTTTAGTCATAAAAATCCATTATTAAAAGGGGCAGTTTTGTTCCATCCAAATCTTGGCAATTTCTCCCCATGTGAGAAAGTTACTTATCAAGTGAGATGGAGTAAGTGATATATAGGGAAAATCAATTTTCCATGGACCATGTACAAATATGAAAAAAGAACATAGGTATCATCATCAATAGGAATCAAAACCCCATTGACCAACCTTTCCCTCTTTAAACCAATAAATTAAATTGTAAAAATGAGCACACACCATGAAAAGATAACTCAATAGATCCAGTTTCCATTATTTGATTGGTTTCTAACCTTATAAGAGCAAGTAAGAGTATAAGTTGAGACTTTTGTTCTATTGTGTCTTCCACTTAGAATTCAAGATTAGTGTTATGAAGATAAAAATGTGGCTATTTCCCCTTTAATGGTGAATACAATGAGTTACAAATTGAGATTTTAATAGCCATTGCTTTCAACTAGTATTCTCTTAGATTGATAACAAATTCTTTTTACCCCGTGATTATTAGTTGCAAGGATGATCTGTATTCTTTTAAAGAAGGTTAGATGATGCTTATTTATCTTTCTATCATCATTATTGTTATACACATAATAAAGAATGAGTTAATGCTTATTTATCTTTCTATCATCATTATTATTATTACACATAATAATGGTTTATCTTTCTATCATCATAATAAAGAATGAGTTAATGCTTATTTACCAATAAAAAGTAAAATGACATAAATAATTACTAATATCACAACCTAATACACTTTTTTCTATACTATTCTCATGGGCTCACCTTTTATTATTAGAATTGCATTTGATTTTTTTATTAGTGTGCATGCATGGGAATACGGATAGGTTGACTATATGAGGTGGGCAATGATTAAAGTATCAGTATCAGGTATCGTATTGGATAACTCATATATAGATACTGACAAGGATACGTTTTGGAAACGCATGATACAGATGAAAAAAGATGGATATGCTAGGAAAATACACACAAATTTCATAAATACATTAATAACACTAAATTTAAGATCAAATTGATCACAAAATAGTATATAAATACATAAAAACTGTAAATATTAAGGATATATATGAAGAAATATATTACAATTAATGTACCAGGATGCATAATTTTATTTATAATGCATCAATCAAGAATCCAAGACACTAAACATATGCACCTATTATATTTTAATTATTATATCAATTATTTTTATTTTACTATTTTAATATTTTAACATTAAGAAAAAGTCAACTAAATATTAAGATTTCAAGTGTAAATTAAAATATCAATTAATAATTTATAAAAATATAATTTTAACTTAAAGTATATCAAATTTGTTAAAATTTCTAAGATACATATCATATACAAATTCATAGTTTTTAATTACTAAAATATTTATTCCATTATTAATATTTTTATTTCTATAAATTTTATGAAATAAATATATATTAGTGGATTTGACAGATTCAATTTAATATTCTATTCTTCAATACTTTGTATATAATATTTTTTTTGTAAATAATAAATATATTGTTATTACTTATTAGTGTAAATTAAAATATTAGTTAATAACTTGTATAGATTTCTTGATATTAAAATCATCTTTTTTTTTATATAAATGTGGATTTTGTACATTATGTATTCTATTAGTTTATAAAATACTACTTTTAAATATTATTTTTTTTTAGTTAGAGTTGTTAAATATAAATATGTGTTTTTTATTTAAATTGCATGTGAATACAAAAAGTTAATAAAATTCATTTTACTTCACTTTATATCATGAAATGAAACATGCCTTAGTGGTTTGGAATCATAACGAGTTCTAAATGCGTTAGGTGACATGAGTTCAAATCACCTCATTTGCATTTTTCATGGTGATTACTGAGTAAAGAGAGCTGATAGACGCAACGAGTATCGTGTGTATTGACTGATAGACGCAACGAGTATCGTTAGGTGACTGATATGAACTTCAAATGCATTCAGTACCCAAATTTTCAAAATGTGCCAATTTAGTACCTACCATTAGGGGTGGCAATTTTCCCCAACCTCGCCAAGGTACCCCCGCCCCGACCCGTCCCCGATTATATAATATAATTATATATATTATATATTATAATAATCATTATTCATTTTTTTAAAATATTAAAACTTAAAAAAAGTAAAACACTTAAACAATAAAACACTCGATGACTCAATAGTAAAACTCTTAGACTTCGAGTCTTCAACAGAACCCTAGCTTCGTCTTTCTTCGTCAGTTCGTCTTCGTCGCTGATTGCCGTCGCTGACTATCGCCACTAGTTCGTCACCGTCGGACATCGGAAAGAGGACAGAGATACTTGAGTCTCAATAGAGGACAGAGAAGAGATACTCGAAGAAGAGTTTTAGTTCTTTAATCTTCCTTCAACCTTCATCATCGCTGCCGATCGCCGTTGCCGTTGCCTCACCCTTTGGATTCTCTCTCATCACCGACCTCAGCTCTCACAACAATGCTCTCTCTCTCTCTCTCAGACTCTCATTCTCAATCTCTTAGAGACTCAGACTCTCAGTCTCCAGTTCATCGGGGATTCAGGTCTCTGATAGGGATGAATTCCCCATCGGGGTCGGGGATGGAGGGGGGATTCCTTTCCTCGCTGGGGATTAGGGACGGGGATGGGGGGGATTAGGGGTCAAGGATGGGGAATGTAATCCTCGCCCTGAACCCACCTTGTTGCCATTCTTACCTATCATTAACCAACCATTAAATGGCATTTTATCCAAAGTGGCACTAGGCCCAAAGTACAGTATTGATCCAAGGGCAACGTGATGCAAAATTTGCAACTGGCTTGCCCTCACTTCATATTAGAAAGAATTGATCCAGGGGCAAGGTGATGCAAAATTTGCAACTATTGTTATGGCTCAGTTTTGAAAGGAGTACAAATGCAAATACCTACAATGCAAATATATGCAAAATAATATAAAGTATAAGGTTTTATACTCTACATATTTGTATTTGTACTCAATGTAACCAAACTGACCAAATCGATTATGTCAATTATGGTTAYGTGGTTTTATTTCAATTAGTAATTGGGTCAGGATCGGTTGTTCTTGTAATTCTCATTAAGTTTATGTCTAAAAGGGTAAATATCATAATTTCATATACATTGTATAAGATAATTTTGGTTTAAGACATTTTGTCAACCTATAAGCAATTTCCTATTTTACAGTCATTTTTATCAATGTTATATTATCAAAGAATAAAGTTTTAAATTGTTATCAACATAATTAATTATAGATGTCAAATATCATCAGGTCTAATCAGGTTAACTTGAGGAATGTTTGGAAGCATGGCCGTTTTCTCTGAAAAAACGGTGTTACACTGGATTTACGTAGGTGTTACATACATGATTATTTGGTTCAAGTGTTTTTTGAAAAAACGCTGAAAAACGGGCATGCCTTGTAAATCCGGACCCAACCGTTGCATACACCATTACACCATCCTGATTATCGAGATTAATAATTGGGGTTCACGGCCCAAATTAAAACCAACCTATTTTACATTAGCCAACTTTGAAGCCAAAATGCAAAGTTTGCATCTAATTTATTCTCATTTAGAATGAAAAAATGACTGAAAGAAATTAAAATTATTTTCATTTTTACAAAATTCAACTGTCATTCTGCAGTTAACACTCTTTACAAAATCCTCGTGAATAATCTATTTATTCGCCATTTCTCGAATTCTCTAGGGGTATATTAGTCATTCGATATTTCAATAAATCTCTATCTCCGTCCGTCTGTTTAAATTCCCCTCCACGGCTCCGCCTCTTTCTTGTGCATGTATGTTGTGTACTACGACAGCGACGAACTAAAAGTCACAAGCGCGCGCAATTTGTTCCAGTGTTCTCTTTATCGTCCTCTAAAATCTCTGGTTTTCATCTGTAAGAGAACCTGAACCTCTCCATCTCTCTCTCTCTCATATTTTGCTTTCCTTCTTCATTTCTGTAAATTACAATGGAGATTTGATGGCGAATTCTCTCCATGTCATCGTTGTCCAAAGCAAACCAATCTTCTATTCTGTATCTACATTAATGGCCACTCTGATTTTATGTATCTTTCTGTAGCTGGGCGCTGGCAGAGAGAGAGAGGGAGAGAGAGAGAGAGAGAGAGAGAGAGAGGAAAAAACCCTTCAACCTACGGTGGAACTCTTCGTTGTCCATAGCTGTCTCTGCTTTAGTAATCTGGGACACTTTACGAGTCTAATTCTTCTTGCATGGACTTGAACCGTTTGAACTAGTTATTAGGGTTTGATCAAATGTCTTTCCAGAAGTAGTAAACAATTCTGGTTCTATACGAGTTAAACAAGTTTAGTGGTTCTGATGAGTTTCTCTTTGTTTGTCATTTGATTTCTCTTCTTCGAGCATTTCAAGTTCTTATGCGATTATGTTTCCATGCATCTGCTTCGTTTTCTTCTTGTCACAGACTACAGGTAATCTGAGATAGGTTGCCTACTTATGCCCATGGAACAAATGTCATCTACTTCCGGTGGATTGGGTGCCAAAGTAGTAAATTCTTATCTGTCCAAGAATATCTCGAACCAACATGTGGTAGCTGAGAGGAATGAAAACTTGCCTATCGCACAACCTCTTCCTCACTGGATTTACCGGCAACAACCATCTCATAATCAGGCTAATTTTTCCCCTGAAAGTTCAACAGAATTCTGTGATATTCCTGCTAGAGATGTAGCAGCTGGTGTTCTTTCACCTGTTGGCAGCATACAAGTTGATTCTTCCTTTGATGCTTTGAAAGCCAGACAACTAACGCACATAGTCAACGGCAATGATCCTGAAGCCTCGAGTTCTGCAACAGTTCAACATGGAAAGATGGATGGAGAAAATTATAATGTTCCAATGGTACACGGAATTCTTTTCTCTGTTTCAGTATTAGAGTTTTCCGGATAATTGTTCTATCAATCTAATTAAGAAATACTTGATTAAAGTGAAGGTTCTATTATGGTATCTTACCACAGGCAGTTCATTTGAGGCCACTCGGTGAAGGAGAAGTGGAGAACAAATTAATGGATGTAGAAAACCAGAATCTCTCCCAAGTATGGTTGTTTGCTTCATACCCTTGTCTTTTGTGTTGCATGCATCCTCTTTCAAGTGGATGTATTGTCTAGCTTCTTGTTTGACAACTATATTTTGGTTGTGTAACATACTCATTCTTTCCACAGAATCATGCTTCAAGTAAAAAAGAGTCAAATGAAGATACATGCAATGTTTTTCAACCATACCCAGAAGTAACCATTGCAGTCTCAGGTTCACCTTCCAAATTGTGTGGCAGTGTATCCAGAAAGAGGGCCTCTTCTCGTAGTAATATAACTGACCGTGTAAGCAAAGCTCATTGCGTTCTCTGGTCTGCTGTCCACAATCATAAATGCCATTGGCAAAGTGTCTTCATTTCAAATAAAACTAGCATATTTATGTATAAATGCCATTAAATATTAGGCTCTAACTAATTTCACAATTGAATTGAAGTAAATTTTGCATATACATAACTAGCATCCTTTAAATTTCTTAACTGCCAACATTCTATTTTCAGCTCCGCAGAGCAAGGATTGGTCAAGGGTTCAAAGCATTGCGAGAATTGCTTCCGCATTTCAAAGAGGTGCATAGATGCATTGAAAGAGGGGGGTTTTCCTAAATCTGCTACTGTCCATATCATTATCTCTATCCTGATGTTTCCAGTTTAATATTACCCAACTAGTTGCATCATGAACTGCTACCTTTTGGCAATAAAATTATAATTAAAAAATGAATAGCATGTTCAAAAGAATGAGATGGGTTAGGTCTGGGCTTCTTTTTGGTCAGTAACAACATTTTCTTTTGGTGCACCACTAAGAAATTTTAAGCAACTAAAATAGTACATTCTTGAAAATCACAATCTTGGACAGAGATCATGTGGGTTTACTCTAAAGCTATAGGACAAGGGGAATCAATATGTATGTGCTGGGACCTTAGCAATGCTTTGGGAGCAGCAATTGATGTTGTCTTTGCGTTCGCGGCATGTTAAGGTGGAGGGAGACTTGCAGAATGCTGTAGGGTGGATSAGAGATGGTGTTGAAGGGCTCTGGTATTTACTTAATCACATTAGAGAGGCCACATCTTTAGCAGCCAGAGTGAAATATCATTGATCTGGGTGCTTAGATCAGCCAACTTCCTAGATGATCCATTAGTGAGGAGTTGAGAGATTGAAGTTATACTGGGCCCTTACTCCTAGAGTAGTTTGTATAGGTTCCCGTGTTTTGTTTATTGCTTAATTCTGTTTTTGATGGTATCTTCTGTGCTGTTCAAGGAGGTTTATATACTTATTTTATCTTTTCTGTTTCAGTTATCTATTGAACAAAACCAATAATAAATAACTAATCACTTTATGTGGTCAACATCTGCAAAATTATCATGTATAAAATAGGGCATAACCTGTTTGTTATAACCATCTGAAGATTATCCTAATTGTGAACACCAAGTTGTAACAAAGACAAGATCATTGATATTAGACAGAAAAATTAGAAAGCAGAAACCACGCTATTGTTTGAAGATGTAATCGGAAAAAAGTTTTTCCTAATCTGTTAAAATTTGACTTATTGACATATATATTTTGAAGTGGAGGACTAGGTTGATGGTAAATGGTCTTTTCTTGCTATAACTGAGAACCAACAATGAAAATATATCAGGCCACTGTATGAAATTCCTCATATTCCAAAAGTTATGAAACTTGATTCTAGTTGTCACAATTCACAATTAAAATGGAATTGGAAATAATAAGCCTGAAATTTTGGTAATTTGGATTAAGATGGATTTTTATATTTGTATGTCCATGTATTGAACAAAGGAAATTATGATCAAGATAGCCAAGAATATGTTCAAAGTTCAAACCTAAAGGCCCCTGCCTTCATGAAGCAAACTGACAATATATGGACAATCCAAATGCAATTTGAATATCCATCCAATATTTGATGGAGCTGATCTTCTATATAACACCATTGTTACACAGTCTTGCAGATCCTTTTTTACACCAGAATAAAAAGAAATCCCATTCCGAGCTAGTCTTCACTAAATACCAGAAAAAAACTGCATTACAGCTACAGGTGCATATTTCTTTTTCCTTTTTTAGATATTTGAACTTTGAGGGCTAAGCCTAATTCCTTTCAGAGAGAACTTGATGCTTTTTGCCCTATTTGTCCAGCCACCTCTTTTCTCTGGGAGTTCTTTTTCTTCCTTTTTTTAGATGTCTTGGAGTTGTCCAACTTTGATGTAACATCTTTTGTGGTGGGCTCAAGAGGAGCTATTTTGTGGTCTCTATTTCTTTTTGTTCTTTTTTTTTCCCAGCTGTGTGGAAGGAGCATAATATGAGAACTTTTGAAGTAAATAGGCCTTTAGTGTGTCTTTGTGGTGACTTATCTTTTCTTGATGATTGGGCTCTTGTTCTCAATGAATTAAAGGTGGTGGTGGGGGGGTATGGACCGTATGGTGTAATGTTTCTTCCTTGGGCCTTTTTGTGTAACATTACTCTCTCTCTATTTATATATTATATCACTTGTTAATAAAATTTTCAATTACCTCTATGTTATGCAAGTAAATATACATAGAAATCTGTATGTGCATCTGTCTATAACTTTGTTAATTCTTTTGATTGATACATAAAACTTCATTATATATTCTTTTGAATTATGTTGTGTTGTATATTCATCTAAATGATCAGTCTCATTTTGGTTTTGTAGGGTAATAAAGCTTCTCTACTGGATAATGTTATTGACTATGTCAAGTATTTGCAGTTTCAGATTAAGGTTGGTCTTTGTTCTCCTAATTAGCACATGTATATCGTTGAAGTGTTTTTATGATAAATGAATACTCAGGAACATTGTTCTGAAACTCAGAAACAGATGGTTGAACCTTCTGGACCATTGCCCAATCCCTAAACTGGTCCAGGTAAACCCATGAACCAGGGAACTTGAAAACCAAGAATATGATTGACCATTATAACTAGCCATCAAAATCAGCTGGCCGAACTAGTTTTCAGGCAGAACCTACTATGTTTGAATTTTTCTGGTGCTTTATAATGTTTTTTCTTCTTTTATTTCTTAATATATAAGATATAGACACACTTTTTCTGTTGCTTTCTTTTCATATTGTTTTCTTTTCTTATTTTCCATATTTTTTGTTGCTTTCTTTGTAATTTTTCTTTTTCAAATAGTTTTATTTAGGATCAGATAGGTCAGTGGTTCAACCACTGGTCAAACAGCTAATGTGAAGGCCCAGTTACTTTGTGGGTTCACTGATTCTTTGGGTTTCAGAACACTGCCTGGAGCTGGTAAATTGGTAATGCTTTTTTTTTTCATTTTATCTTCTTATTTGTTAGAAGTATAGGTTGATTGCGATGTTGGTTCTTTAATATCTTTTGTTTTGTTTGTGGTTATTAATTAGACAGGGGTTTATTTCTTGTTGCTGTTTTGGATAGATAACTGATCTCTCTTCTCCACATCCACAGCCTATTTCTTTTCTCAGATCTGACTGCTCCAGCCTTTCTTCCTTCTTATATGCTTAAAATTGAAACTGACACACCTTTCCTTTCTTTGTTTTCTTCAAGGGCTAACAAGGGGAATGCCATCAAAAGATAGGGGTAACAAAAGAAGTACCAAAAGAAATGGGGATTATTCAAACATGGGAAATTGCTGACATCACTTTTATTCTTCTCCTATGAAGAAATCACCAAACCACAAAAGATTCCATGTGCTTGAGTATTTCAGTCATCTTGAAATGCAAACATCTGTTCTTTCTGAGCAGTACCATTTCACATAGTCTCGTGAAGGTTAAGCACTAGGCGTTCTGCAAATTCTTAAGAAAGTGAATTAGCCACTTAACCAAGTGAGCGGAAAAGTTGTTCCATTTTGATAATGCTTAATGCAGTTTTGGAAATCCTATGCCATGAAACTTATCTAAACACATTTGATTTCCCACAATAATATAAATTAAAACAATATTCAGAATATTCTTTTCTTTCTGAGAAGGAACAAGGATGGTTATGGTCAACTTAGTACCCTTGGCTCTAACTTTCAGGTTGCAAGATACCACTTTTTCTCACTAGTGCCATCAATATTCTATGCAAATGATAAGACCATCTTAGTTTACTTTTCATCATTTATCATCTATTTGGAAATTTTGATTGTGATCTAGTCCATCCCTAAAATTACAGAAACAGAAACAAGTATCAACTTTCCCTGCAACTAAAAGAACCAAATTATGAAAATATTTATCTTTTCCCAATACAAATTTTGTACATTCTGTAATGCATTGCTTGCATTTGTTTGTTAATGGTAGTGTAATACTGCGATGAATTCTATATGAGCTTAATTTTACAGGTCTTAAGTCAAAGCAAACTGGGTGGTGAGGCAATTAATGCTCCTCTTGTTCATCTCGAGGTAAAATTCATTTGACCTTTCATTCTTTCTGGGAATAGTAGTCTTCGCTTTGAAGCTGTAAACATACCTGGAAGTTTTCCTAATGTTGGTGCATTTTGAGTAATTTTTCTTGTTTATTGGAAATCTAGAGGCATTATATGGAAGGGATGATGATTCTAATTATGCCTTGCCTGCCTTTTATTCTCTATACTTTGTGCTCATAATGATCAAGTGTGGGCTTAAATCTATTTATCAGAGGATTCTGATTCCAGAACATTGTTTCCAGTTGGGGCTTTAGATCTTACATGATTGTTCTTTTGTATGTATAAGATCCTTTTTATTGCTGATAAGTACAAAGATAGAGAGAGTCTTCTTAATTGGTTGATCTTACTAAAACTAAATCTAAAACACAGATGATATGATATGATCTCGCTCATCTCTTTGGCATTTTTTTACCATGACTTTCACTGTTGCATTGCATATTCCTGACAGTTTTAAGTAATCATTCATCCAGCTTTTACCACTGCTTCCTCCACAATTAACTTTTTAAGTAATGAAGATGTCAAACTTAGTATAGTGCAAAGTATTAAAAAGAAAAAAAGAAAAAAACCTTAGCATAGTTTAAGTAAATCATGGGTGGTGACTGTCTTTATTATCTGAATTAGGCAACTGAACATTTTTTTTGTGATACATTGCAGGGTTACGGCCATTACCTGCTTAATCAACAGATGCTGAAGGAACCCCTTGAAGAGATAATGGGACGGTTGATGGAGGTGGACATGGGAAAAGCGACCCAGCTGTTGCAAAGCAAAGGCCTGGCTGTGATTGAAGATAGTTTGGCAGAAAAGCTCTTCCAAGCTGGGTAAGAAGGGAAGTTGGTAGACCTGTCTCTATTTTCAGCATCATGCTATTTTATGTTTCTCTGAGAGAATATATTTCCTTGGTTATTCCAAAATTAAAACTTGGCACATCTGTTTGTTTAAACAAGCCAACTCCAAACCCTATGATAAGGATAATGGAAACTTGGGCGATGGGCAGTTGATGCCATTTTGGGTTTTAGCCATTGGAAAGATGAACATTTTTGGTCTTAAAAAAATGTAGGCTTGTTAATAAATCATGTAACAGARCAGGTTACATTACACCTTTTTTTTTCATGGTCACGGTAGATGTTAAATTGCTAACACCACGCCTCATTTTTTTAATACTTTTTTAAGTTTTTTTAAATGTTGGATGACGTGGCTTTACCTACAAGTCTACAACCGAGTAGGAAGGAGCCAAACATTGTCCAAAATATTTGGTTGTTTGGTGCTTCTTGTACGCATCCAATTTTTAATCCAATTGGTTCCCCCCCCCCCCAAAAAAAAAAATCCAATTGAGTTTGCGGCTTGCGTGCTATAGTGGAGATTGTCAATACTAGACAACAAGGGCACCAAAAAAACTTAACATAGCCCACCTTAGAAACTTACTGGTTTTAAGAGCTTAGTGAAAGGGTGGTATTTAGATGCAAGAATTAATCGGCAGGAGTTATTGTTGGCAAATGTATATCGGTTTTTTTGCCTGTGAAGTGTGAGGAGCGTTTTTTTTTTTCCCTGATAGGAGTAAAGCTTTAGGGGTCGTTCTTTTTTAATTTTTTCACTTCGGAACTTTATTTTCTTAAGTGTCTCTGTGTCTCGGTGTGGAACCCAGGATGTGGCCTCTGACATCACACCTCAATATGTATTCAGAATTCGGACTTTCAGAGTACTCTTTTTGTCTAATGACAGAGATGGAAGATTATACTCCATTAATCACATAACAGTGACAGGAAACAGCCTCTGTATGTCTAGGGGCAAGGTTCAAAATTTTGTTACGTACCGGTTGGCCTGACACACTGATATGTAGAGGTGTAAATCAGGCCGTGCTGGGCAGATACAGCATGGGCCCGTATGCAGGTTGGGCTGTGCTGGCCTGCGGGCTGGACTGGGTCGTGCTTCCTTCCCCTGAGATACTTTGGGGGGTTGGCCTAGCTCAGCCCACACGGCTCAAGCCTGTGTAGGCCTATGCCAGGTGGGCTATGGGCTGTGTAGTGGGCCTGGCTCATGTCAAGCTAGGCTACAAGCCAGGCCTTGGGCCTGTGTCGAACTGGGCCATTTTTTTTTTTTTTACATTTTGATTTTTTTTTTTGCTAAAATTCTTCACTTTCTTTAATTCAATATTTTCTTTGAGCTTTGGGAATAAATTGGAAAAATAAAAAAATCTAACAAAGAAATTAAAAAAAAAACTTAAATACTTAATAGAATACAAAATGGATAACAAATTAAAAAAATAGGAGTTTTATTTCTTGAATTAGAACAATACAATGGTCAATGGACAACGGATGAATGAAATATAGAAAATGGAATAAAATATAAAAAAATATAATATAATTATAAATTAATWATAAAAAATTACATTGTTGAAAAATAACAACTAATATAAATAAAATTGAAAAAAATTACAATAATTGAAATAATGAAATATTGAGTATACAAAAGAATAAAAAATATTGACTTCATTTTTCTTCAAGTTCCACCTCCACGCATCTTCATCTAATCATCTCCTTGATTGTCATCATCTGCTTTAGGTGAAACATCAGGTGTAATGCCATGCCCTCCTTTATCTTATAATCTATTCTCAACATCCAACTAATCTTTAAGTCAAATGCACATCTCCAAAATTTCATCATTCATACAGTTTATCTTGTCGTCCAACACCCTAGTACCTACACTAAAACAAAACTTTGATGGAATTGTAGACACTGAAAGGGTTAGTAGATCACGTGCTATGGTGACAATGACTGGATTGTTTTTTTCATGTCCTCTCCACTATGCTAAAATATCAAAATTATCCCATCCCTTGTTGTCGCAGGAATCATTTAAAGTAAAAATACTTGCTTGTTAATAAAAATTAAGTTTAGTAAATGAACTTGGTGATGAACTAATAGTAGATTTCTGCATCTTATGTACTACAGACCGAATTTTGTCTAATCTAATATTGGAAGCTGTTTCAGAAGTAGAACTTGCACCTATACAAGATTTCTTATGCCCACCCACTTGAGATTCATATAAATTGTACATTTTGAATAATAAATCATAACTTCTTCAATTTTATTTCTAATTTCAATATTCATATTTTCACAATATGATTCAAGTAAAATTTCTAAACCTATCTTTCCTAATCCTAGGATATAATGTTATAGCTAAGCAATAAAGGGGAGAAATTTTCTCCCAATATTTTTTTAAACTTATTTTCTATTATTTCAATAATACTTTGAAATAGTGGATTTTCCTATATTTTGGAAAACATTTACTAATTATAAATAATTGATTAACTAAAATAATAAATTATAACTTCAATTTTATTTCCAAGTTCAATATTCATATTTTTACAATATGATTCAAGTAAAATTTTTAAACCATCTTTCATAATCCTATGATCTAATATTATAGCTAAGCAATAAAGGGGAGAAATTATCTCCCAATATTTTTTTAAATTTATTTCCATTATTTCAATAATACTTTGAAATAGTGGAATTTTCCTATATTTTGGAAAACATTCACCAATTATAACTAACTGATTAACTAAAAGACAACTACTTGAGTAATAAACACATAAAAATTATTTAGTTGCATCATAAAAAATTTGTAATAAATCTTTTATGCAAATCGCCATTTACCTATCTTCCTCAAGTATAGGATCATGTAGCATTTTTGCATTATAAAAATCACTAAGAATTTGTTTTTAAGCACAACTTTCTAACATAAAATATGTTGAACATCTAATGCAAAATGTTTATATTTTAAACCATAATTTTGATATAAATATTTAAATTCTTATTTTCTTGCTCCAGAATTTTTAATATATATTATACAATTTCTAATTTTAGAAATATAATGAGAAGTAATATTTAAAACATTTTGGATACATAAATTTAAAATATGACATGCACATCTAATATGAAATAATTTACCATCTAAAAATGGTTTTACTTGAGATTTTAAAATATTTATTGTTGAATCATTATTATTAGTAAAACTTGCAACAACAATTAGGCCAGTATGTGGCCATTCAAGCTTAGTGAAACTTAAAATTCTTTTAAAGCCATTTTTCATCAATAAAATGACTATTAACACAATACCACTACTACTACTATAACTAAAGTCACTCTTACATTTTTAACAAACTACTCTCTTTCTCTTCCACTCAATATCCTCTATTTTAAATATCATCCAAACCAGGCTAATCACCTAGTGCTCTTTTTCTTTCCCCTACCTCTAATAGCAATACTAGGGGTGGAAATGTTAGCAATATCAACAACATCCATATCGATGCTAATACTATCATATTGCAATTGAACATTAACATAGTTGACATTGACTACATTGGGGAATTCGATGACGAGAGCGAGAGGAGCCAACCATTTTTTTTAATTATAAAAAATAAAAATTAATTTAATTGCACTTACCCGGATTGCTGAATTGGAATTTCAACTTTGATTTCAACGGTTGAAGCCTCCAAGTCTCCCAAATTGCTAACTTGAGATACCCGAGCAAGCATTTTTCTTGTTGAAACTTGAATTAAGTTGAGAATTGGAGAGTAGAGAGAGTACGAGCGTATATGTGAGAGTATGATGTATGAGAAGAGATTGAAAATTGATGTAATGAGAATGATGAAGGATAAAGTTATTTATAGGAATTGAAAATAATTTAATTCTCCAAAATACCCTTAATACTAGCTATTTTTAGTTATTAGGAGGGGTATTTTGGTCATTATAAAGTCATTTATCACTTTACCTAAATACCCCTTAAACTAACTGTTATATAGTTGTTAAAAAAGGGCATTATTGTCATTTTATCTCCCCCAAAGCCAAAATACATAAATACGCCATACATAGCTACTGGGGGTATTTCTGTATACCCCCTCCCCCCCAAAAAAGTTGAAAATAACCGTTGGGGGGCCGGGGATCTCCAATAGCTAATTCTTCAGACGGGCCGAGTGCGATCTGTTGCAGACCTATGGGCCAAGCCGTGTTGGCCCAACCAGCCAACCTGAAACCTTAAGCCTAACACGACCCATCAACCCATACAATCATGCTAGGCTACGCTGGCTCAAAATTGTGTTGGGCCATGAGCAACACAATCCAATTTACACCTTTACCGATACGCAAAATGTAAGGAGTTTTAGGGTATAACCTGTTTCAAGGGATATAACTAGGCATTTAATTGATCCCCTGAACATATTTTGAAAAAAAAAACTAAAAAAATGTGTAGATACAAAATCTGATACACCAAATTTGGCGTATGGGACTGTATCGAAAATTTGAACCTTGTTCTAGTGTACACTAGGGCTGTTCACGGGTCGGGTTGGGTCGGTTTACTACAGTTTTTCCAACCGACCCGACCTAATCGAGTTACCTGACATAGAAACCGAAACCGACCGAGTGTTAAGCAAAACCGACCTAGTCGGTTTGAGTCGGCTTCAGTTCTAAGTTCATTCCTGTGATAAAATCTTACTAATTTTAAAAACAGTCATAAATTGAACATCATTTCAGCCATCTCCTATGATAAAATTTAAATGAAAAGTTAATCACAAAAGTTGTTCATTAATCACTATTCACTAATCCAAAGTTTCTTGTAACCATTCAAAAACTAGGTGGCCTAATGGGCTTTGGAACTTCATGTTTGAACTAGGAACTAAGTCAATTCGATTTGTGTCGGTTTCGGTTTTCTTGTGTGAAAACCGAAACCGATCCGAATCATCGATTTAGGAATTTGCACAACCTGAAACCGACCCATGCTGATGAAAACCCGGCCGACTCGGGTTGAGTCGGTCGGGTTGGGCCTTCTTATGAACAGCCCTAGTGTACACCATAATTGTCCTATGTGTCGTGTTGCTTGGAATACGGTCTGAATGGTCTGTAAAATGATTAATAATGAGAGCACCACTGTTACTTGTAAAATGGCTAGTTTCTTTATAGAGAAATTACAAATGTGAAAGATGGAACCATGGAATTACATTGTTTAAGAATGCATAGTAATAACTGCTGCAAAGGAATGTTGAGGACAAAAAACAAGCATGATTTATTTTTTTTCCTTTTTTTTCCAATTATGACTCACATGTAAACAAATTCAGATGGGATATAAAGAACTAAGGGAAGAATGTACAAAGCGTAGGGGCTTCACTTGTTATGATTGTCTGCAGGGGTGTCTATCTTGATTATGAGAGGTTGGTGAAGATCCAATTGTGGAGCAGCCACACTAGGCAGCTGTGGCGAGCTTAAGACACCCTCTATCTCAACGTTTTCAGCAAGTGCTTTGTCCAAAGATGCCTTGGCAACTTTTGTTACAGCCACCATCATACCCACTGCATAAAGAAAACAAGAAAAATAAAATCAGAGAATACTTGATAATACAACCCAGATAGAAGGACCAACATTGGAAAATGGTTCTAGAGCCACATAAACGTGCAATATAATAGGTCAATTTGGTCTGAATTTTTAAACGTGCAATATATAGTGGTTCTAGAGCCACTAAGGTTTCAGAAAATGACAAAGCATACCTTGAGTTTTTAAGGTGGACTTAATTATACCTTGTGAGTTGATCCCACTGGACTAAAACATACTCTCCATTGAGGAAACATTAACATGTGACGTTAAGTGATCTCTTTAGTATTCCCAAAACCCAATTATGCCCTTTGAAATGCTTCTAAATTCAACCTGGGCATCTCTCTGTCTGCCTGGTCCGGTTGGGATTCTTCATACAAGATAACATACCAACACCTGATGCCAACTGTAAGAATGTTAGAATGAAGTCTCTTTGTATGAGTGTTCGGCTGATAAGAGTTCTTATTAGCCCATACTTAAGTTTAAGTTATCCTGTAACTGGGCCTGAGTTAATGGGCCTAAGCCTGTTTAATGTTTTAAGTTAACTGGGTGTCCCATCACTAATCAGGGGCATTCCAGTAATTACTTG